AAAGAAGGGTTTGATTTGGAAACAGAATTTAAAGCTATAAAGTCTCAGAACAAGTCACAGTAAAGCAAACACCAAATGGTATTTAGCAAATCGATTCCAAAGAGAGGGCATTGTGCTGAGCAGGGAAAGAGTTGTTTTCACAGGCACTGAAATTGCCTGCTCACTATGAAAGAGGGTTGGCACTTGTTAGGGATGGGGACCATGCAGAACTAGCACCTAATTCTGGCTACTGTTTGTTTTATGCTTGAAATGGAAGGAAAACTGGGCCTTCCAGCAGCTACTTGGCACAGCTTCTTAAAGTGTGCAGGGTGTAGCCAATCCCTTTCCCCTACCCCAAGCAAAACAGACTCAAGTCCAGGTGCCCCAACCATAGCCAAATACTTTATCCACTCCTGGGTAAGTTCTTCTGTGAGGACTGAGGAAGGAACACCTCTGAAATCAAGTTCCACAATTTGGATGGTAGTCAGTTGAGCAAGAGGTAGAAACTCTTGCCTTTCTTAAAACCCAGCAAGACTAAACTGGGAGGGGGGAACTGATTTTAGGCAATAATCTACTCATCAAAAGTCTCTTTTGAAACTTCCTAAGTTAAGGTCCAATGCCATGTAGCCCAGTGAACAACTCATGAAATAGATGGCTCCAAAATTCCAGGGCAGACATTCTTTTCCATTAGTTGGTTAAAGTGCTCCTTGGGCAGCAAGGCATTGGGGTGCTGGCAGGGGTGAGTAGGTAAGGAGTCCTTTCACTGCCGGTTGGCGGTTGGCACCAGAGCGGAAAGTGCGTCCCCTCCCCCGCCTTTCTCCCTTGGGCGGTTTGATTTCCAGCCAGACTCCGTAAGAGTGGCCAGGCGGAGGCTCCAAATTCCCACAAGAGTCGTGGGAGAGTCATGGCGGGTAGTTTTCTCCTGACACGCGTCCAGCCAAGTGCCAAGCTCTGGGGCGCGAGAACCCGCGGGTGCTTGCTGTCCGGTGTCCTCCGAGCGGGAGAACCCGCTGAGCCCGGGAGTCCCCTTTGCTCCCGAGATCCAGAACGGTAAAAGCCAAGGCGGGGGAGGCTCACGGATTCCGAGGACAAACAACCTCCAAGACACTCAGGACGGCAATTTTTTTTAATTGACCGCTGACAGGCTGAGGGAGTTTGTTTTACTACTGAATACCCCGGGAACAAAATCCTTTTGAAAGGAAAGCTAAGTCGTTTCACGCCACCAAAGTGCAGATTTGGTGAAGAATGACTGATGGGACAAAGCGGCGCGGTGCGTTAGCGCTGGTTCCCAGAGGGAGAGAAGCACTTGGGCAAATGCGGGAGGCGGCCTGGAAGGGTGGGGCGGGGCAGAGGAGACCCGCAAGGCCCTAAAACCCCCAAAACCACCGCGCGCCAGTCCTCAGCCCTCTCTCCCCAGCACATTTCACTGCCAATTTGGTAGAAAAGATGACAAAAGAGGAGATAAGTGAAGCGAAGAGAAGTGAAGGACGGGGATACAGTAAGAGGATGAGGGAGGGAGAGACTGAGACTGGAGGAGCAAGGGGAGGGGGCCCTGGGGAAGAAAGGAGGGGGCAAAGCAAGGCTTAGCAGCAACGCTCCAGGCAGCCCGGAGTTCACTTTCCAAGTGGGGACGGCGGGTATTGTTTTTGGCGCCTAGGAAACCTTCGGAAGCTGCTGGGTACTTTCCCTCCACCTCCTGTCGGTGTTTGGTAAATATTAACAAACCGGGCGCGTTATATTCTGGAGTGTGGACGGAGGGGCTGGCAGGGGCTAAGGACAGTTTTCCTCCCCGGAGCCCCCGCCCCCAAACCTAGCCCCACCCTTCGCGCATACACACACCTGCTTGACAACAGAAGGAATCAAAATCAATATTGTATTTGTCACCCCTCTGTCTCCTTTTTACTCCCTCGGCAGCCCGGGTGCCACTGAAGCGAATTGTGGATTTATGGAGGGAAATTAGCATAAATTATTACGAAATCTGTAGCCGTGTGTGGTCCAGCTTGTGGGAAAAGAGGCTATTGCGAACTCTCCAAGCAGAAAGGTGGTCGATGGTGGGCTCTGCGGAGGCGATGAATGGCTATTGCACGAAAGAGATTTCCATTTGGTTTGCACATGGGTATAATTGACTTATGTGTATTTTATACAGTTTTCCCAACAACTCCCTAAGCCTCCGGGTCGGATGTGCCCCCCTACCCCCCCCCCAGCTTCTGTTTGCCTTGGGTTCTGCACAATAGACTCTGATGCACTTTTCAAGATTTCTGGAAAGTGCTCTTTCCCTCCTCCTCTTTATAATACCAGTCTTAAAATGCTATAAATAGCATGCAAATCCTCCCTCCATCCCCTGGGCTTTGTAGACCTCCAGCAGGAAGGGACATAAAACTTTGGAGCAAAGCACACATTTTAAATGCGTATCTCACAAATTCTCTCTCCCTTTGCAAGGCAAACTTGTTATATAAGGTTTGATTTACTTAATTAACCCTGGGTATGGGCAATGTGCCTCAACTCCTATTGCTATTGTAGCCAAACTTTGAAGATTCTTCAGATGTGAATTCCTACTTGTATCATGACATGTTCCGAACTTGGTGGTGACAACTTTCCCGGGGAGATGGACAAAGATTTATTCCAACTTGTTTTTTCCCCCCAACTCAAACGTTTCCACTCTTAGAATTTAGTTAATCTTCTGTTTACTTTGAGCAATGATTTCGACAGCCATACAATGGTCCTTTGCCAAGCAACAAAATGCTGATTGTTAAAATAAGAAACACTGCTCTCTCCCGGTTCTCTATCCTCAACATGCACCCATAAGAATTAGAAAATAATCTTCCTGGCTGTTTCTGGGAGGACCAAAATCATTTTCTCCTATGCTCACCATCTCCAATCAGCTACCCTGAACATTTTATTTTGTGTTTACATTTCAATTAAAGTTTAAATTAAAAACATGTTTAAATTTCAATTCTGGTACAGGTTTGCTAGAAGGATCCTAAACAATCCTCGGGGGCTTCCATGCTGGTATTTTTTCACCCCAAGGGTACTTCTGCCTTGTTTACAGGAACTCTAGTTTTGTACCTGGAAGCAAGCTGTAGGCTGAAGCAAGACATGGACCAGCACCTTTCCATTTTAGGTAACACAAGCTTCTCCACTATCCCCACTCTGTCCCTTAGGCTTCCCACCTCTTTGGACTCCCAAGCTCCTCCTGCACCAGGACCCTGAGGGCTGCGCCAAAAACAAACAAACAAGCAAATCCAAACCTTAAAACCACACCTCATTTGGAGCTGAAGCACGTGCAGCTCAGGTGAGTAGGACTGCCTTCAGTCCAAACTCGGCAGAGGTTCTATCCAAGTCCGACTGGTTTAATCTTCAGAGATGGGCAATACATTTATCTGCCAGCTTGAGCATACCCCCAGAGACAGGTCAATGCCCCCCACCTCCACCTCCTAGCACCCACCTCCTTCTCCTAGTTATTTTTTCCGAATTAAGAAGGTGCCATTATTCTTTTCTTCAAGCACTTCTGTTAATATTGAAAAACGTGCGCTTGCATCTCAAGCAAGGCAGCTCAGACGCGAGAGCCATTTCAATATTAATGAAATTGTTTAATCTCCTAAATTCATCGTGTTTAAGTTACGTTTTGGTGAGTTATTGACCACCCCAGAAAACTGTGGTTAATGAAGTTGGGTGTGTGTGCATGTGCGCCCACGCTGGAAGATCTTTTTTTATACTAACCTCAAACAACTCCACTAACAATGCTCTAATATCACTTAAAGTGTTGAAACTTTGCACCCAGAACCCCACACCACCACCTCCTGGGGAGGAGGGGAAACCCTCTCACATTTCTGGTGTTTGAAGATGACTCTGTAGGCTGTAGGGATTGTATTTTAAGCAACACTGTAAAATGATTCTCTTTTTTTTTTTAACCATAAAGGTTGGAGGGTGTGCAGAAATGAGTGGGAACTCCTAGAGTCTACTCATAGACTGCATGCATGCAGGCAGGCAGACCAACTCACTATATATTTCATAGCAATTTGATGATGATGATGACAATGACAATGATGATAATGATAATAATGATTCATTTAACCCTCCCAAGGCAAATCCAAACCAAAATAAGTCTGCTACCCACACTATGCAGTGACCTGAGG